TTGAATTCCACTGGCCCTGATACTTCTTATCCATGATAGAAATGTCTTGATGAAAACGCTCCTCGTGTTCATCACTGGCAGCACCAAGATTGTCGGGGAAGAAATCCTGGTGGGAATCCAAGAAATGCATTTTGAGGGAAATATCACATCCCATATCTTTCAAAGATATGGGATGTGATATTTCCCTCAAAATGAATTGTAAGAGCCCATTTACAATTTCACAGTAATTTGGAGTTTTGTGATTATCTAACTTATTTTGTGAAACATATTTGAATGATTTCCATGCTGATTTTTCAACTGCGCTTAACAAGCTTTCAAATTTATCATCTTTAATTAAAGTTCTTATTTGTGAGCCCAGCTTTGATTTAGCGTCACTTATACGAGGAAATTCTTCTTTCAAATAATGAAGTTCAACATTGTTTACATTCATTGCCTTGACAAAATTTTTGAAAAGTCCAAACTTTATATGAAGTGGAGGTAGAAGAATCATGTCAGCATTGACTAATGGGACATGAACGATATTTTTCTGGCCAGGAATAAACATTTCACGCTTCGGCCATTCCTTCTTGACGTAATGATTTTTCTTATCTCTGCTGTTCCACTCATACAAGAAACGACAAAATTTAGTATAGCCAAGCTACAAACCTTTTAATAATACAATGACTTTTAAATCACAACATATGATCCAATTGTACTGTACTTATGATAATGAATTTTTTCAAGTAAGAGTTCCATATTTTCATAGGTTTCTTTTATTTTAATTGAATAAGCTAATGGCACAGAAGGAAATTTGTTTCCATTGTGTAATAAATGAAATCACTTTCTTCAGAATAGTAATCTTGAAAATCTTCTTGACAATTACGAAAGAAACACATTTTAGTTGTGTGAAGGTCCAAAACCCTTTTGTTTTAGAACAGTATCACCCCCTCTAATAAACCTCGTGATTAGGTGAAAAGGGAAAAGGGGGGCCTTCTGCGGTCGATGACCGAGACGATCTCCTCGAAAAAAATCGTCAGTATATCAATAAAAGAAATCTCCTCCATTTGTTTAAAGGTAATTCTATAGACGTTAATATCAACAAGACGGGAATAAGAGATGTTTCTTACTCCCTCTTTGGTTGCACGTGACACGTGGTTACAGCAATAAATCGCCTCGTTCATAGTCAAACGTGACATTTAATGTAAACAATATCTAGATTGTTGATCAGTTTACAGAAATTATTGTAAGCTGAATGTTAATTTATGGGTGAGAGCCGTCAAACCTATAGAAACTTATATTATAAAATCATATCTTCTAGACACTGGTATCAATAAATTAAACAAACTTCTCTATACCAGTGTCCGTACTAGATAGATCCAGACATCAACACACGAACAGGTGTGCGTATAAATCATTAATGATGTCATAGTTCTCACCCCCTCAAAAATAGTATAAAGAGAGCTTGGACGCAGTCGACGCGGCGGACATCGACTGCCACATCTACTGACCCATACCGCCACCCTATCCGTCGCTACCTCGCCATAACTACCGTGACGATCCAGGAACGTTTTTACCAACAACACATATTACGAATCGGGAACTTAGAGGTATTTTTTTTTTTTTAATATCTATTTGTATACTCTCTCTCTGCGAAATCTCTCTCTGAGAAGTATCTCTCCGAGAGATCTGTCTCTCGTATCTTAATTTAACTTAGAGAATAGAGATTAGATGTTCCATATGAAAGACGAATCATTGTCGCGACGTAGAATAGAATTTTTGTAGTTTTTCACCTTCGCTTTTGATATGTACAATTTTATAGTTTATTAAATGTATTATTCTTGTTCAACCTGTGTATTTATTTGTGAATCTGTCAACTTACCCATTAACCTCCCCACTCATTTTATTTTGCCCTCCTATAAAGCCATCCTCTGACAGAGCCGCCGGTAAGTGGTGACAACTAACCCCCTCGGTTCTCACAGTTGTCTGATGAAGTAAATTCCGACCTTTCAGTCGAGAAACTAAAAAGTTCAGCCTGTGTTTTAGACACGTTCAGATCCCTAACAAGAACATTTATCTCATCTTGAGTTAATAAATGAGGTTCACAAGTAGTAAAAAACTAATTTTTATATTCCCCAACCAAAGTTTATCAATAGTTTTGATTCTTTTATTACATTATCAATAAAAATTATAAATAATAAAGGGGACAATATACAGTACATCCTTGCCTCGCCCTAGTTTTACTTGGAATCAGTCACCTATTTGTCCTTCTATCCTTACAGCTGATGTGCAGTTCCTATACAAGCTTTTGATTCCCCCAGTAGAGTATCCTTGATACCACATTTCTCTAGAATTTCAAAAAGTAAACCTCTATGCACTCTATAAAATGCCTTCTCCAGAGGTCATATTCTGGTCACTTATCTATCGCCTCTTCTTTCAAGGACAAATGACGTCAAAACGAGAGACGAAATTCGTCTCTCAGAGACAGTTACTTTTAACGATTTCGTCTTCGTTGATGACGTCACGATTCTACTAGGTTGATTATACATGTTTCCTTTGTCTGCGCGCGCAACACGGTATAGAATTTTAACCAATGAAATTGTAAAATTTTCGAAAATGCAGAGGGTACGTTCGTAAAGTCAAACGAGTTAATAATTTAAACGAGAATAACGTCATCGTTATTCTTATTTCGTTAGACTTTTCGAACAATTCGTTTATAACTAAATGGCTGTTTCTAAATTCGAAGATATGAATGTTGCTAGTGTAGCTTTATCCGAAATATTTTTCTTACATTGCTTCGGATGGGCAATTATTTCTATCATTTCACCTTTTAATTCACAGTTTAAACACTCGAGTAGAATTTAGAAACATCGATATCGTCGGCCGCCATTTTCTTAACGAAGTGAACTAACTCTTTCCTTCGTGAACTTCGTTAGAGTTTCGTTCGAAACGTCACCACCGCAGAGCATGCGCACTGAGCGAGACTACTACTTTTAGAACAATTCGTTACTAACGCGTTTAACTCGTTCGACTTTACGAATATACCCAGAGTATGTAATTATAGATCACGTGGCAAGGAAAGCATGAGTTCAAATAAAGCATGTAATTTTGACGAAGATATGTTTCTTGTTTTATAACGTTTTTACAGGTTGTAATGTCAATTTGTCTTTTAACAAATAAAAATTTTAATAACCTAAGTTAGAAAATCATGCGTACTTAGATATTTTTCGAAATATTAGCATCTGATTTCTCCTTAACTATCTAAGTAAGATTAACATTATACTCAATAGTTAAGTAATTGATGTAGATATAATTAAAAAAAGAAAAAAAAAATGGAATCAGTGACATTTCAGAGTAGGTACTGGAAAACAATCAGAAGCATTTTTCTCTCTCGAAATATTCTTTTCCGCGATAGAGAACGTTTTCTAATGCGATTGTACAGCGCGAGTAGCATCCAGTGGCGCATATTGGATATAAAGAAATCGAGGCAAAAGACAAAAAGCAACTATCCGCTTGTCCTGAGAAACGAGAGAATCTTCGAGAGTAAAAGTTGTCCAGAATCGCGTTTGGAGAGACGCGATGATCGCTCGAGACGTAAACAAATGATTAGCCAATCAACGACCGGCTTGTGAGAGACTAGAGATGATGACCAGAATACGGCCCTAGGTCAACGAATCCCAAGTATAGTTTCTTGTTATATTCCCACCCATGCTTTCTCTGTCAATTGCCTTAGTGTAAATTATTTGACATTGGCATCTTCTATTTGGTCTAAAGCCTATCTGTTCTATTTGGACTAAAGCCTTTCTGTTCTATTTGGTCTCGGTCACTTTCAACTATTCGTCTGACGCTTTTTTTTTTTTCTAAAATGCTGGCTTAAATTTTAGCTGGTACACTAAGGAGTGAGATTCCTCTATAATCACTATGTTTTACTTCTTTTTTTATGAATTCGTGCAATTAAAGCTTTTCCCCTATCCTCTAGAACCTTCCTTCAGACCAACATCTTTGAATAATGTGAGGTAGCCAATGTATTACTATTATTCCACCATACTTTAGCATCTCTGGTCTGATATCATCTGCACCGGCGGTCTTTCCACATTTGATGTGTTTTTATGGCCTTACCCACTTTTATAACAGAGATAGGATTCAATAATTCCAAAATTTCAATACCTTTCTTTTGTTTGGCTAAATCTGTCACTCCTTCATTCAGTAGCTGTTCAAAGTATTTGCTCCATATCTTTGAATATCTTTTTCTTCTGTTATAATTTCACCTTTATCATTCTTTATTTCTCTAGTTACAGTTTCCCCAATAGTTCTGGGATCCTTTACTAATTGCCAGAACATTCTGCCCCCTCTTTATACTGTTCCAAAATTTTTCCAGCATCTTTGTTTAACCATCTTTATGCAGTTTAGCTGTATTACATTTAGCTTTATAATCTAATAGGTTGCTTTTGGTCTTATTTGCCAGATGTCTTTTATAAGTTGCCTTTTTCTGTTGTACTGCTTATCTAATCTCTTTGGTCCACCATGGAGTTTTAACCTTCCTATCTTTGCAAACACATAGAGGAGAAGGTGGTATTATGGAACCCTATTTTCATTTTAGTGAATTGTAAACAAGGTATCATAACTATACCCACATTTTTTGTGCGAAAAGTACTGGTAACTATTAAACTAAATGTTCCTGATTGGATTTTTCGCTAGTGTAACTATATGTATGGTTTTTGAAGGCTTTTGTACAAAAAGTCAGAAAGTAGGCTTAGGGAAAACCGGGTGGGAATATGGAACCCTGATGTATGTTCTCAAAAATGCTTTAATGTAGCCAAAAACAAATAGGAAAGTACAAAGAATGTTAAATAATTACAAAATTATTTACTCCAATGTATTTTATCGAAAAAATGCTTTTATAATAGAAAAATATGACCTCTATCAACAANTAGTTATTTATACATGTATATTTAAGGTTAGTCTACATTACACTATATATGTATTTTTAAAATTCTTTTTGTTTTAAATTCAAATCTTCATAGCTAACAGATATTAGAGATTGTCAGTTAAGAGAAATATCCGAAAAGTTAACAGATTATGAAAATATATTGAAAGAAATGAAAAAGAAACGATGGGAAGAAGATCAAGTAAAATGAATTTGTTTGATATTTACAATAGTGCTTTTTTATTAAACAAAATTATTTCGATTTAATTTACCAAATTCTTGCAATAGTGGGAATATTATCTTCAATCTGGAGGAAAAACAAATCCTCTTATTCCGCAAGAAGTGAATGATTATATATCTATTTGGAGAGATTTGACAGAAAATGAAAGCACCAAAGATATTATGCGAGAATGTCATAGTTGTTTACAGGTTTATCTTTGTTAATATACTTATTTATAAGTATAATTTTGTTAATATACGTATTTATAAATACAGTTTTGTTAATACATAATTACTGTAAATTTTATAATTTTGTGTTATAGTTAATTAATAAATTAGAAACAGATCTAGAAGATGCTCCCGAAAAAAATTCTAATTGGATAATAGTAAGTTTGTTTAGAAAAATAATATAGCCTAAATGAGAAAACATTCTATGTGGTAATTTTCAATTCTATTAAAATTCCATTAATTTATATTTAAATAAATTTATCAAATTTTCAGTCACACAAGAATCTTCAAGATTTATTACACAAGAAATTGGATAAAGCAACTTATATATTTCTTCAAGTAAGTTTCTTTAATTCAATTTGATTTTAACGTATTTAAACAAAAATGTTATAATACTATAGTTGTAAACTTCTTGCTTCTAGAGAATTAAATAATTATCTCAAACTACCATTTGGTGGAGATGTATGAGGCTTATCGAACTGTAAGTTTCGTATACGAGATCACATCGAGATCACATTTATAAAATTAATTTTATATGCATTTCGGTCTTCAGACTATTAAATAAATACAAATACCTATAACAGTTGCAAAAGCTTATATTTAACATTTAGCTTTAATTTAATTAATACATAAAAATTAAAATACAAAACAAATACAAAAATAAATTCCGTGTAATGTTTAGTAACTAAGTTAAATATTGTAGGTTTGTTTTTTCTTCTTCTCAATCTTAATCTTTGACTATATGTTTCGTATCTGGTCCCCAGGCTTGTCTTTCACATAGCTCTTCTCAGAAAAAGATTGGAGACTCACTGTGCTAGCGTAATATACGTATTTGTTGTTGTTAAGTTCCATCGAGTCGTCGTCGACTCCTGGTGACTTCATGGACAAGTCTTTTCCATCTTGATCTTTCCCTTGTTGTTTCTCGTAGCTCCTCCAGCTTCATTTCTGTGACTTTNCACTAAAATAAGCATGCGAGTTTCTATCTCTCTGGCCGGATGCCTGCGAGTTCGAGGCGTGTACAGGTTTGCGGAAAGTGGAACGACCTGAAATGAGGTTAGTCGCGAAATACACAATTGTAACATATATTGACGAACAGTTGCGGATAACTGAAAATAATATTTAGAAATTTATTTTTTCTTAATTGTTATTTAGTAGAATTTATTTTATATTCGGGTGTTTTGCGATAGTTTTCTTCTTGTTGTCTTTGAATAGTTTAATTTTTATTGATTTGAAAGATATTAGTTTACAGCAGTATCCGTAACAGATCTGTTTTGTTTTGTGTCAAATAGTAATAACAGTAATATTTGACTACCGAAGTTGCAAGAATGAATGCTATTTTTATTGATGTATCCGGACTTCAGACCGAAAGCTAAGAGCTACACACATAAACTGCTAAGTTTTGAAGAGAACGAGAAAGAAACGAAGAATAAACTCGATAAAACAATAATGAAAGTGTTTTTTTATCTAATCGTGCAATTTCCAGAATAGGTGAAATGGATTACCATTTCATCTATTCTGAATAATCACTGCAAACAAGTTGAAAAAAAATCGTATTTGTTTGGTTTTCTATATTAATTATAGATACGTTTGATAGATCTACATAAAAATAACTAAACACAATATATATATACCCATCATATTTGTAATAAATTTAATAAATACACTCAAACACACTTTTCAATTAATCTGAAATTTGTATTTCTTTTCTTTAAAACGAGTACGAATAAAAAACACAATATTTCGAAGTACAATAAGCAGAAAAAACACGTTTCATAAAAATATTGAATAAAAACAAATTTTTATTGAATATTTTTATGAAATAGTAAAATAGTTTGTTACGTAACAACCACAATTATATTACATATTTGTTTAAAATTTATTAATATCTAATAATAAACACTATTTAATTTAAATGTGCCTTAATATATACAAGTATTTATAAAGGAGTATATTAGGTCAGTGATCTTTCTTTTGATGTTTTAAAGAACACAGAAAGAACACAAAACCCAGAAAAATCAACATAAACAAAGATAAAACATAACCAACAGCTACAAGTAAAACAAAAAAATTATATCAAATAATAATAATAAGCAAAAATATCTCTGACGTTGTTTGAATTATAAAAATAATTCTTCTTTATATCTTTTCTTTGTCGATTTCAAAAATAATTGAAAGGCTCGTGGAAAGAACGATCAAAGTCCACTTTTACTGAAAACTGGCAATTTTAATTTTAAAGTTTGACAACTTGCCAAGCTGAATGTCTAAATAAAAATGGATTTTTTCCCTTATAATAAATGCTTTAAATCTTTTTAAAGCTGAAAACGTGGATGAAAGTCGCACAATCAAAATGTATTTATCCAATCGTTAATCGTCGTGAAATTACGGCAAATTTCAGTGTTCATGGTGTTCAGCTGACACAAATTGCTTTAGAGCTTGGGAATTGTTGTGTTTTGCCTGAAGTAATGGAATATGAGCAGAATAAAGGCTTTTCCAATTCGCTTGGAATTACGTTTTATGGGTTCAGATGTAAGCCAAAGTCCACTGTACGCATTGCGATGTAGTACGGTAGTCACTGATGTCATTTTTCGTTCCTCGTTTTTGAATGCTAAAAGGAGACAGAAACGGGTAAAATGGAAGTATAAAACCGTTGTAATTCTTGAACATGTCCTGTTTGCATTCAAACACGTAAAATAGTGTTAGCTTTTGTCCTGCTTCAAAAACTACTTTCATCCAGCCGTATGGTTCATAAACAATTGACGTTTGGTTTACTAAACCGAAATCTTTATCGCATTCCATGTAAATATGCCCTCTTATAGGAAATATGACTTTTATACTTTCAAGTCGACCTGATATTGTTACTTCACAATGAAACACCCTCAATACAATAATTTCTGTTTTGCCCTGAGCAAGCAACGCAAATATGCAAATTTTTCATCAAATATTATCGAGAATATCCATGAAATTAATCAACAATTAAACTATATCATTGGAATCTTTTTGCCATGGTTTCATCGTACATATAAAAATAACTTTCTTTGTGGATGACATATGAATATTATGAGCGTTGCAAGACAGTTGTCACCCTTAATATCCATCGTTTGAAGAAACGTTGGGCACAAGGAGATTTTTACAATAATAAATTGTTACACTTTTGTGCCTTGTAGAAGCATTACTTTTTGCCCTTACTTTTCGCTTTTTTTTTTCGGAAAACTTATCAGCTTTATGTAAATGTAGATTTAGTTTTAATTTGCGCTCTTTCAGCAAGTCGACTGGACTGCGAGGTGTTTTGGAAGTGCTATCGATACTTCCTGAATTACCGAGATCAGGAGTTCCTGTTTGATCATTAGAAATCACTGAAATTAGGTAAGCCCTATTGTTCTTTAATCTAGGCAGCATCACAGAAACTGCAAGTATCTGTTTGTGGGTCTCTAAAAGTAATGTCGTATTCATTATTAAATATTCGGTGATACTTATATTTCGAAAACTTATTGTTGGGGTATTTTTCCTTAAACATTTTCAGAGGCCCAACTTTTGGAAACGCTTGAGAAGTGGGTACTATTATTTCGACGACGAGCTGTTTGTGTTTAGGGCTACGTGCTCACGAAGTTTCGTTTAAATCGGAGACCCGAACGTCTGGCCCTCCCCTTGCTAGAAATAGAAATCATTTTTGAATAATTTTTTAACGAATAATTCTGAATAACACATTTGATCACAATGTTTAAACAGTATTTCACACGTTCTGTCGTGTCAAAATTTTTGTTTTAGTCTACTGAAAAAAGATCAAAGTGAAAAAGGTCAGTCGATAAAAAATCCCAATGTGAAAACGCTGGGCGGCATTACACAAAATTGCCTTCGGTTCTCGAAGTCACTTCCTACTTTTCTTCCCGAACTTGCCGCGTGATGTCATTGAATCGCTAGATGTGTGGTGCACAGGACTGTCATTGTACAGAAGCTCAATAGTTTGCTGTTTTTCCTGAAGTGTGATTTGTGATTCAATTTAAAGCTGAATGTCGAAACCAGCAGACTAGGATTTTATCGCCACTTGCTACATAAAATTTCTGTCTATTTGAATCTATTTTCTTATATCCTGTTTGCAATTTTGGTTTTCATAATTCTTCGTATTTTTCTTCTACATATACTTTCTATATAAATCAGTAACTTCACGTGTCCTACATCAGCCTAGTTATCATGACTAGAAATTATATATGAATTTAATTATAAATTAATATATTTATTAAGTATAAATATAATTAATAAATACAGTAAAGCATCGATTATCCGACCCCCGATTAACCGTCACATCGGTTAACCGACCGTTCTAGTCGGAAAATTTCAAATGTCCGCTAGTGATGTGGC